CCGCAACCACACTTTCAAGGGACTATGAACCTGCACTCCAAGTTTTCTTTGTTCAGCAACATTTCCCAGGACCTTACCATTAAGTGTATAAGTCCTGCCCTGATTTGCCTTTCCAAAATGCAGCACCTCACATGTATCTAAATTAAACCATCTGCCAGTTCTCGGTCCATTGGCCCATCTGATCAAGATCCCATCATATTCTAAGGTAACCTTCTTTACTGTCCACTACACCTCAAATTTTGGTGTCATCTGCAAACTTATAAACCATACCTCCTATGTTCACACCCAAAACATTTATATAAATGATGAAAAGCAGTGGATCCAGCACCAAACCTTGTGACACACCATGGTCACAGGCCTTCAGTCTGAGCATCAATCCTCCACCACCACTCTGTCTTCTACCTTCGAGCCAATTCTGTATCCAAATATCTACTTCTCCCTCTATTCCATGAGATCCGAACTGGATAACCAGTCTATCATGAGGAAACTTGTCGAACGCCTTAGTGAAGTCCACATAGATCACGTCCACTGCTCTGCCCTCATCAATCCTCTTTGTTACTTCTTCAATATTCTCAATCAAGTTAGCGAGACACAATTTCCCATGCACAAAGCCATATTGGCTATCCCTGATCAGTCCTTGCCTTTCCAAATACATGCAAATCCTGACCCTCAGAATTCCCTCCAACAACTTGCCCTCCACCGATCTACAGTACCCTGGCTTTTCCTTGTCACCGTTCTTAAATACCAGCAGCACATTAGCCAACCTTCAGTCTTCCAGCACCTCACTGGGGATGAAAAAGAATTTCTTCATCTCAGTCCCAAGGTTTGTTCCTTATTTCTTCATTCATAAGGCAGGTAAACTTTAGAATTCTCTGCCCCAGAGGGTTATGGAAGCTCAGTAATTAAGTATGTTCAAGGCAGATTGATAGATTTCTAGATACTAATGATATCAAGGCATATAGTGCAGGAAAATTATGTTTAAGTAAATGATCAGTTATGATTGAGAATGCTAGACCAGGGCTGAATAGTCTATTCCTATATTCCAAATAGACCAAGATGCCCAATGCCCAATACTCAATACATTTCAGGTATGGTTCAGTAGAAAAGTCTTGCACAACTCAGAAGATCAAGGGTTCAAGTTCCACCCTAAGAACTACAGGTCAAAATTTAGGTTGACGCTAGTACAGTTTTGAAGGAGTCTGCAACTTTTGGATGAGATGTTAAACCAAGGACTCTCAAGCAAATGTAGAAACACATCCAATGGTACTTATATACTTCAAACATTTAAGTATCTAAACACAATAATTATCTGGTCTTTATCACATTGATACGTGTGGGTGCTTGCAATGCAGAAACTGCCTAGATTTTGACAGTAACTACATTTAAGAACCTTATTGGTTGCAAAATGTTGAGATCATGAAAGGGATTATAGAGGAAAAAAAATTATATTATGCAGCAATAGCTCCCAACAATTTCACTCTCTCCCAAAATCAGCACAACAATGAAAGTTTTTACCTTCATTGCTAGGCCATGCAGAGAAAGAGCGCAAAGAGGAGGAAGGTGAGTTGCCACTAATCCTATTAACTGACCGTAAAACTGTAGGGGGGCAGGAGGAGAAAGAAGAGTACCCATGCACTATGCAATAGACAGACTACGAGTGATGAAATGTTCTGAGGAAAGGTCACTGGACCAGAAACGTTAACTCTGATTTTTTTCTTCACACGTGTGGTCAGACCTTTCCAGCAACTTCTGTTTTCATTCCTAATTTACAGCATCCCCAGTTCTTTCGGTTTTTATCAAATGCACTTTTCCTTGTAACAGCGATGAGATGTGACAAGGATACACATATAAAATTTAAAGTCTACAACACTAAGTAGTATCTAATACTCCATGTATTAGAACCAATTTACCACCCACTCTTTAAGGTCTATTCTTCACGAACGGTTCTGAGGAAGGGGACACCAGACACGAAACATCAATTCTGATTTTTTCTTCACAGATGCTACCAGGCCTGCTGAGCTTTTCCAGCAACTTTGTTTTTGTACAAAGACATCAGCAGACTGTGTCAGCACTTTAGATCACCAAAGCTGAGTTGATTCCATTCTCAAACAAAATGGAACTTATCCTTTCTAGTCTAGGCATAGCTGGACCAAATGTTGTTGATAAGCTATTGTAGTCAATCTGTATAGCTGTATAGCTGTATACTACAGCGAGCATTGCATTATCTAATCACTAAGATCGGACAGAAATAAGATTTCAATTGTCACTCCTGATTCTAAATTTCATAGTTGTTACTGCCAGTTCTACACTGATTAGTATCATATTTATAAAGACTGAGCTGACCATACTGCTCAGCAAGGGAAACTGCCTATTGATCACTGATGAATTAAGACTGAAAATGTTCAATCAAGAATACAATCTTACTCGACTTCCAAATCATACTAAAATCTTGCTGACAATAATGCTTAAAGGACAGCAGTGTTTCGTCCAGAAACTGTAATTCAGAATCTTGAAAATACAATAGCATTGTATGTGACAGGTTGGAGTATACGTGGTACAGAACTGGCGGATGCTTTCATTTCAAATAATGATGATTAAAAGTAAAATAAGTTTGTTAAAACTTAAATCAAATTCCTTGTGCAAGACAGTGACGGAGTAGGATGCTCCAGCAGGAGCTTGTCCGCTCTGCCCGTTCTTCTTTTCTTACTCCAAGCTTTTCTGTTTTTTTTTCCCTCTTCGACTCTTAGCCTCCAGCAATGATCCCTGGCCTCCCAGCCTGGCGCAGCATCCTGTCAGCATGGCATTTTGCTGGCATAATGTGGAGCCAGTGTCCAGTGTGGACTGGAAGCTAGGTGCCAGCATGATTTGCCGTACTGAACTTTTATTTCTGTATGTGTAAATCTTGTAACTAAAGAAATTGTGCCTAGGTTCTTTTGTATCTAAGTTGGCACTGTCATTGGCAACATATACTCAATGAGTATGGTGAAAAGTTTACATGTGACAAAAAAAAGGCTATTCTATTCTATTCATGTAATCATGCAGGTAATGTACTGGTGAACATTTGACTCAGTTCATCTTCGTGAAGGTTTCCAAACCTTATTTTCTTTTAAATCAACCTGTTCAGTGATATTATACACACCTCTGTAGCAGGTGGGACTTGAACCTGCGTCCCCTGAGAGAGCTTTTCCAACATTTAAGCAGCAGCTTGCCTTATTTGAGTAATTTCTTTCAATTTCCCACCTAGACTATCTGGTTCCTTTGTTCTACCAAAGCTACAGACTAACTTGTACTATTTCCAGCTGTGTGATATACAACACAAAAACCTGAAATGGAGACACAAGGGCAGTCAGAATGTGCTGCGATATTTGCATTTAGAATAAAGGGAACAGAACTTAATTCTGCCTTACAACTGAGGCCTCAGGCTGGGAAAACACGTTTAGAAATAATTTACAAAGTGGTATGATATGCATAAGGTGAATAATGCACAAAATTGTGACTTAACTGAAATAGTATTCCCAAGATTAAATAGTGTAATCACCAAAATCAGCTATAGCCTACACATTTGCAGGATTCAATTTTGATATAATTTAATATAAATTAGTCAGAAATTATTCCTGCAAATGAAATACTTTATTTTACACACTCTTAAATAGAAATGAGTGAAAAAGTTAAACCAGCAATTGTCATAATCCTCAGTCTGCATGAACCAAGTAATTATATAAGCATGAGATGTAGAAACTATTTTAAAGTAGGATAAGATTGCTTGCAATGCTGAGTTTTTCTTGTTTCCCCTGTATTAGCTATTGAAAAGGCAATTTCAGTTCATATTTAAATCTCAAATATTCTTGAAAAACAAATGCAGAGACTAAAATTAAAAAGTAAATGCAGAATATATTAATATGTTCTCCAAGTGTAAACTCTAATTTCTCTGTTCTGAATTTGGATCTTAATTTTTTAAACAAACAATAACCAACTGCCACATATTAAATCTACCTTCAGATACAGTTCAAAGGCCTGGCATAACTGAAAAAAGGGTCCTAACATTTTTTAAAAATTAACATTAAAATCAAAGGTTCAGGACATTTTAAGGGCATTTCCAAAAGCTTGGCTGCCGCATGAAAACAAAAACGTTGCTGAAAAGTTTGTGAAGGTGATGAAAAGTGATTGAATATAAATTTTTTTTAAAAATCCACACAAGGACAAATTTTTTGTCCTTTCAGTAACTCAATCCCTGCCTTGAACTGATTCTTGTCAAAATGCCAAGAAGGATGCATGGCAGATAATGCATCAGCACAGAAAGGAAAAAAAATCTCAAGCACAGATAAAAGAAATATACTGCACAAACATCACACTTAATCAAAATATGCTGATCCACACAGGGCATTTCAGTCATGTATAAAAGTACCTGTCGCATCCATCTACAACAGATTACTAACAGGACACATGAAACTGATCCAGGGCAAAAGCTCTTGGCAAGCTAACTTTAGAAGATATCTTATTTATACCAAAGCAAATATTAACGATTCTTCTGGAACGTTAATAAAGCAGTTACTTCAGATATTTTCTGAACTAGCATTTTAACAAACCAAAATACTTAAATATTAAACACTTTCAATATGGCATAATTTATACTGAAACTTCCTTTTTCAACCCAAGTATTCGTACAACTTTAATTTCAGCGTTTCTCGTTTTTTTTTGGAAGAGGCTACGGTCAAAATTCTTCTCATTTTAATACGGGAAAAAACGTGGCACATTTGAGACCTTCCTCAGTTCACCCAGTGAGGATCCATGAAATGGAAATCGAGGAGCCGAGAAGATGGAGGAGCTAGTTTCAAAAGATTTACACGAGACTCAGATAAAAATAAATCACGTCCTCAAACTCTTAATCAACTATTACAGCAGAAAAATAAAACGTAAGCATTGGTCCAAGATTCTTAAAGCTCCGTGAACCCTACAGCGTCTGGCGCGCACGCTCAGAAAGATTATTAAAACATCTTCACCTCGGTGGAAACTGGAGTGAGGAACGTTATTCCATCACCGGACGAGGCTGCGAAGGAAAGAAAGATCAGTCGCATCCTCTCGATTAAATTCCATTTATAAAAAGAGAAATCTTTCGCAGCGGATCACACGGCGCTGCAGTTTAAGTCACCCCCCCCCCCCCCCTCAGAAGAAAGACTCGCCGAGTCGAGTTTACAGCTCAGAACGGAGACTCCTACAAGAAAAACTTGAACAAACTTTCCCGGTAGTTAATGTACTTTACTGTCGGGGTCCGAGCGGACTGGCTCCACTTTCTCCCCGTTTTCCCGGTGACGCCATGTTGTGCTAAAAGTACTTCTAAGGGGAGGTGTGGGAAATAAAGGCAATAACTTCCCCTCCTTTAAAACTGCATCTGCTCCACACTGCTGAAAAGTGAACAAACAACGAAGAGGAATTGAATAATTAAGAATAACTTGTGGTACTGTCTTACCTGAACTCCAACCAAGCAGCCTCCTTCTCCTTCACGCTCCATCGGCAGCACTTTCAGCAACCGCATCACAGTCAAAGCTCCGGCGTCAGGCAGACTGCGACTGCTCACCGCGCTATGGATCAACTCGCCCACCAGCCGCACTACTTTCCCAACTACTTCCAACACGAGTCAAGCTGTTCAACTCTTAAACGCACCAGACACCTTTCATTGAAATAACACATTGTTTTCTTCCTCTAGTCTTAATCATGTTTGTTTTCTGTTAAGTTTATTAAGTAATCATTTATACCGGCTCCTTATTTTACTTTTTTTGTGTATTGCGATTTCATTTGATATATTTTCATTTAATTTTCTTTTCATTTCTCGAAGAGTTGAATCCTCATTGTATATACAAATATTATCAGAAGACTCGTTCTGGAGAAAGGTCGCTGGACCCGAAACGTTAACTCGGCTTTCTCTTTACAGCAATTTGTTTTTGTTTCTGATTTCCAGCATCCGCAGTTCTTTCGATTTTTTTTATCATTACTAGAGTCCCTTCCATTCTGAACCTTAAAAGCAGATCTGTTCTAATTTACATAAGATCCTGTAACTTTTAAGTATGAAAAGCATTATTAAAGCAAATCAGTCCCAGTTTGAACCACTAATGTAAGCATTTCTACAGACTCCAATTAAAATGATTCCCAGAGTTATCTTGCATTAAAAAACCTCTAAACAAATCTGTTTTGTAATGCAATTGTTGTCTCGTCAGTAATTTATCTACAATTTCTGTTAACTTCTTTGCATTTTTAAAGCTGCTGAAGAAATATGTTGAGTCTCAGTTGAAATCCTCATGCAGTTCTTAGGAATAAAAGCCAAAAAATATCAGGATTGTAAATAACAAAAGAATGTTTGGCAAAGATTAAAAGATAAGCATGGAAAAGAAAGAATTTACATATCTGTGGCATCGGTTTACAGCCTCAGAACAAATGTGCTGTACAATGGATCGCTTTTGATCTGCACCTTACGCAGGTAAATACAGTCGCACACAGTAAAATTCCATTGTGAATAATCAGATGAATAATTATTCAGGATAGAATTAGTATTAACAACAAAAAAGGTGGATTGATTAACAAGAGTCAGCATGGATTTTGAAAGGGGAAATCATCATCTTGCTGGAGTTTTTTTGAAGAAGTAGCAGAAAGGTTCTATAGTGGTAACACTGTTGATGATCATACAGTCATACAGAAAGGAAACAGACCCTTCAGTCCAAGCCAAACATTAAACTGGTCCCACCTGCCTGCTCCTGGCCCATATCCCTCCAAACCCTTCCTATTCATGTATCTATCCTAATGTCTTTTAAACGTTTCAATTGTACTCGCATCCACTATTTCCTCCGGACGTTCATTCTGCACGGCGATCACCCTCTGTGTAAAAAATTTGCCTCTTGTCTTTTTTAAATCTCTCTCCTCTCACCGTAAAAATATGCCCCCTAGACTTGAAATCCCCCATCCTAGGGAAAAGACAACTACCATTTATTTTAGAGATAGTAAGAACTGCCAATGCTGGAGTCAGAGATAACACAGTGTGGAGCTGAAGGAGCACAGCAGGCCAGGCACCATCACAGGAGCGGGAAAGCTGACGTTTGTCAGGACCCTTCTTCACAAATGGAGGAGGGGGAAGGGAGCTCTGAAATAAAGAGAGAGAGGAGGGGTGGGGCTGGGGAAGGTAGGTGGGATGGTGATAGGTGAGTGCAGGTAGGCAGTGGTGGGAATTGGTCAGTGAGGTGGGAGGGGCGGATGGGTGGGAGAGAAGGATGGACAGGTTGTGTCAGGTCAAGGAGGCAGGGACGAGAGAGAGGGAGGTAACAGATGAGTTTCAATGTATTTTGGTAGGAAGAAGATCTAAAAGAGGGGAGATCATGTCTACATAGTGTGTAGGAGCAGAAGATCCTGGGTGTACATGTGTGCAGATTATTGAAGGTGGCAGGAAAGCAGTTAATAAAGCATGAAGTATCCTCAGCTTTATTAACAGAGACATAAAGTAGAAGAGCAAGGAGGACTTGTATAAGACTCTTCTTAGATCTCAGCTGGAATATTGTGTACAGTTCTGAGAGACATGCTATAACAAGAATGTGAACTTATTGGAGAGAGTGTAGAAGCGACTTACAAAGAAACATAGCAAATAGGAGCAGAACTAGGCCAATTGGCCCTGCAAGCCAGCTTTGCCATTCATTATGATCATGGCTGATCATCCAACTCAATAGACTGTTCCTGCTTTAACCCCATATCCTTTAGCCCCAAGTACTATATTTTCTTGAAATCATACAATGTTTTCCCTCGACTGCTTTCTGTGCTAGCAAATTCCATACGGTCACCACTCTTTCTGTGAAGAAATTTATCCTCATCTCAGTCCTAAATGGTTTATCCTGTATCCTTAGACTGTGATACTGGTTCTGGACTCTCCAGCCATCGAAATCATCTTTGCTGCAACTACCCTGTCTAGTCTTGTTAGAATTTTATAGGTTTCTGTGAGATCACCCCTCATTTTTCTGAACCCTAGCGAGTATAATCCTAACCTATTCAACCTTTCCTCATGCATCAGTCCCAGTATCTCAAGAACCAGTCAAGTAAAACTTCACTGCACTCACTAGTAAGAACATCTTTCATCAGATGGGGGAACAAAAACTGCACATAATATTCCAGTGTGGTCTCACTAAGGCCCTGTATAATTACAGCAAGACAACCTTGCACCTGCACATGAACTCCTTTCATTATGAAGGACAACATACCATTTGCCGTCTTTACTGGCTGCTGCGCCCGCATGCTTACCTCAGCAACTGGTGTATGATTGATTGATTGATTGATTGATTTATTGTCATGTGTACCAAAATACAATGGAAAGCTTTGTTTACAAGTGGTACAGGCAGATCATAGTAAGCAAAGGATGTACAGATCAAAAAGACTTAGACAGAGGCATGCAGGTTATATTGCACAGGAAGTGCACTAGGCGAGATTAATGTTAGCAAGATCAACATTATTTGCAGCTAGAGAGTCCATTCATCAGTCTGAAAATGGCTGGGAAGAGGCTGTTCCTGAACCTGCTAGTGCGTGAGTTTAGGCTTCAGTATCTTCTGCCTGACAGAAGAGTTTGTAGGAGATCATTACTGAGGTGCGATGGGTCCTTGATGATGTTGGCAGCCTTTCCGCTGCTGCGAGTCATGTAAGTGGAGTCCATGGATGGAAGGTTGACTTCCGTGATGGTCTGGGCTGTGCACAGCACCTTCTGTAGTTTCTTACGGTCCTGGGCAGAACAGTTGCCATACCAGGCCTTTATGCACCCGGACAGTATGCTTTCAATGGTGCATCTGCAGATGTTGGTGAGGGAGCTTATGGACATGCCAAATTTCCTGAACCGCCTGAAGAAGACAAGGCGTTGTTGTGCCTTCTTGACTGTTGCATCTACGTGGTAAGTCCAGGACAGGTCGTCGGTTATCGTCACTCCAAGGAACTTAATGCTCTTCACCCTCTCAACTTCAGTTTCATTGATGTACATGGGATGTGTTCTCCTCCGTTCTTTCTGAAATCAATGATCAGTTCTTTACTTTTGCCAACATTGAGAGACTGATTTTTTTCATTGCATCATGTCACCAAGCCTTCTATCTCCTTTCTGTAGTTTGACTCATTGTTGTTCGATACCCATCCCACTATGGTGATGTTGTCAGCGAACTTATAGATGGCATTCATTTGGAATTTGGCAACACAATTGTAGGTATAAAGGCAGTACAGTAGGGGTCTGAGGATGCATCCTTGGAGGACTCCAATGTTGAGTGTTATTGGGGAGGTGGTGCAGTTATCTATCTTCATTGATTGTGGCCTGTGAGTCAGAAAGCTGAGGATCCAGTTGCAGAGGGCAGAGCTGAGACCAATGTCACGGAGCTTTGAGATCAGTCTGGAGGGGATAGTGGCATTGAAGGTGGAGCTGTAGTCAATGAGCAGCAGTCTGATGTAGGTGTCTTTGATGTCCAGATGTTCCAGGGATGAGTGCAGGGCTAGGGGATTTGTCATCCTCTGTGGACCTGTTATGTCGGTAGGCAAATTGTAGAGGATCAAGGCAGACTGGGAGACTGGAGTTGATGTGGGCCATGATCAGCCTTTCAAAGCACTTCATGATTATTGATGTCAGAGCCACTGGGCAGTAGTCATTCAAGCACGTTGCATGCACTTTCCTAGGTACAGGGATGATGGTGGTCTTTTTGAAGCAAGTGGGCACTTCGGCTTGTAGGAGGGAGAAGTTGAAGATGTCAGTGAATACCTTCGCCAGTTGGTTTGAACAGGATGAGGACACCCAGGTCACATTACACATTTTAATTTTCCCGTCTCTCAATTTATAGTTATTCAGATAATATCATGACTTCCTATTATTGCTATCATTGTGGATTCATCACATTTATCTAAATTATACTGCATCGGCCATGCATTTGCCCCCTCACTCGACAATTTATAAGGAATGTACCTGTAGAGAAGAAGGCTAAGATGAGATCTGGTAGAGGTTTTCAAAATCATGACAGCTGGATAAGAGTAAATAAGATGAAACTGTTCCTGCTTATGAAAGAACAAGAATAACAGGGCATAAATTTTAAATGATCTGCAAAAGAAGCAAGGAAGATATAAGTAGTTCTGGTATGGTCTGGTATGTCTGAAAATGTGGTGGAGCCAGGTACAACTGAGGCATTCAAGGGGGCATTAGACGATTATTTGAATAAAAATAACGTATAAATGTATAGAGAAAAAGCAGGAGATCAGCAATAGATAATGATGCTTGTTTGAAGAGCCAATGCAGGCACAAATGCCTCTGTCTGTGCTGTAAGACTTCTGTGATAATCTTTTTCCAGTTGTGTTTGCTGAAGAATATAGAGGAAACTGCATTAGAGAGACAAAACGCAGACTGGATGACTGTTTTGCAGAATACCTATGATAAAAGTTACCTCAAACATCCAGTTGCCTGCCACTTCAAGACCACCTTGATCCTATGCCAAAATTTCTGTCTCAGGCCTGCAGCAGTACTCCAGTGAAGTTCAATGCAAGCTGGAAGAGCAACACCTCATCTTCCATGTGAGGACCTTACTTTCAGGTCACA